AAAGAAATCAAACCATACGAAAGAACATTCAATGTAGAGAAAGACCTCCTTCCTAGAAACTGTCCCCAATCCTGTTGTCTCAATATCTGCGCATATAGCACATGCTTTCATCTCTCCACACACAGATTTCACACAAGCCATAGAACACAAGGCTGTACATCTTGCTATTTAGAGTGAGTCTTCCTCTTAAAGAGTGAAGAACAAAATGTACAAGTTCCTACAAATGAACGTGCCTAGCATAATCACTTTCACATAGCACTCACCGAAGAACGCATTATATAGATATATACAGCAGGTCCTCGGATAATGCCATTGATGAGAAAAAAACAGCCCCAACTGATACTAAATGAAATGATGTTATTTGTGTTATTTATGTACTTGCATTGTTTCCATTCAGGTAGCACTTTCCAAGAACCTACATGACCTTAAGTGAGAATTTGCCTCATTTGCCATTCAGTGGTGGTGTGTATTATGCGTTTCTCTGTTCTCTTCCACAGCAAATTTTATTTTCCATGTGTCAAAATGCCCCTGCACAACTGGTGCACCCCCTCCAAAATGAAGCACACAATAACTATCTGTTACAGGGCAGGGAGAGAGGCACCCCAGAACCCCCAAACCTGCCAGCTCTAAATAGGTGCTGCCATCCACCTAATCAAGACAAAACATGTAAGACCTTTAATAGAAAGGAATTTTAATACAATTAGTGTGCAAGACAGAAAATACAGTTTTCAAATCAAGCACCCAAAGTTACCCGTGCCCTCGCGGATAAGTGTTCAGCCAAACAAGAATGGCCAAAAGCAAGGCCCGAAAGCCTGCCACAAGTCTAAAGCACCTTCCAGCGGGGACCCATAGAAGGGTCAAACAAGTCTGGGAGGAAAAGAGCAAAATCAAAACCAAGATAAAAGCTACCATATTTAACCTCCCCATGGGTGTCTCACCCACATCTGTTTCAATCATCCAGGACCAAGAAGCAAGCACAGTTTCTTCACATGTCTCTCTGCTCCTTGTGCCTCCTCCAGGTCTCCTGGCTCTCCATCCTGCTTCCTTCCTTCTCCAGTATCCTCTCCAGCTTCTTCTACTCCCTGCTCAGCTTCACCTTCCGATGGGTGGGGCAGGGAATCTGGAACCTCTCCTTTTCCTGGGGACCACCCTGTTAACATTTCCACTTCATATTGCTAAAATCCTTAAGTTAGCCATTGAGATGGTAAGTGAAAATTCAGGAAATATAAAGACACTTCCTGTCTTTCATGTGCTCTACAGGATAATGCCATACTGGATTATAAGATCTTCCAAGACATCAAAGAGCTACTTAAAATTAAAATTAGAGTTATAAAGACTCCAGTCACTTCTCTATACATCAGAACCCTACAGAAATCTTGCAGAGTCCATAGCACATCCAGAGGTTACAGCAAACTGCCTGTCCTTTGACCTGTTTGTGGCTAGTAGTGGCATTGTTTCCTCTCCTGCACAGTACAAAAGCTTTGTTGCTGTTTTTTGTTTGCTTTTTTTTTTTTTTTAATATTTAGGTAATTAGCAGGTTTTACATAAAAATCCAACACCCAGCTTCTGAAAATGTCAATCTGGCACTATGGACCAGTATTCTTTCAGCAAGAAGGTGGCTACATGTTCTCTCCTACTCACTTTCTCACAGCATTACCCATTTGTGTTACAGACCTGCCACAGTCAAAGTTGAGAGCTCTGCTGCTCAGACAATTTATTTGGAATGCAGTAAGTGTAGAATTTTGTAATATTCTGTGTGTTGTGTATTAATGAAACTTAAAAATTTAACTGGCTTGGCTTACAAACTCAAGTTTGTAAAATTGACAGATAGAAAGGCTTCGAGTCTTCCAGCTAGAATTTTCCGTAACTCTCAATTGAGCCCAAATGAGGAATAGGTGGCTAAGGAAACGGGGCATAGGTGACATGGCCTCCGAACACTACCAGATTCCCAGAAATGGGGCTAGGAGCCTCTGCCTCCCAGTTCTGATGGCCTAAAACACTCATAACCCCCTAAAAATATTTTCAATGTTAAAGTTGACATATAAAATTTTTTATCACAATTCATTTTCTGGTTTATTGTAAACATCGACTTAAAAAATAAAAGTTACATCGTTCTTTTAGGTGTAGCAAGTGGTATATAAATACCTTAATGATTTGATAAGCACCACTATCTGTTTTAAAATATGTAACAAGTCATTTAATATTTGAAAATTTAACATTTTCCTTTTAATGCCTTGAACTTGAGAAATTCCATTTTGATATATTTTGAAATAATTGTCATCCTAGCACATCTCAGCAAAAAAACAAGTAAATCCATTAAAGTCTAATTTTTCTTGTGACTAGAGCTCTGTTATTAAAACATTTTCTTCTGAAATGAATTACCATTCAAAGTATTAGTAATGCAAAATTAATAAAAGGAATATAATTTTAATAATTATTATACAGTGGCTGCAGCAGGTTGAGCACAGTGCTGTGAAGCTGTCTGCAGCCTCTGCAGCATGGTTTCGATTCCTGGCCAGCCAGGGAGATTGCCACATGGCATGGCAGACCTCTCCTGTCTGGCTTGCTGCTCCCCTCAGCAGTGATTTCGGTCCTTCTGCCTGTTCTGCTCCCCGCTCTGTCTCTGGTGAATCCTCTCACCCTTCCTTGCCTCTGGCCTGTACCCCAGCTATTGTATAAATAAAGAAAAAAAAATCTTTAAAAAAAATTGTAATTATTATACATAAATTTTTCTTATAATTGCTTCTTTTTTGCTTGTTTTTAGAATTACTTCTCTTAATGAGCTTCTGAATGGCGCTAACTTAACATTAGCATGTATCTGTGGATGGATATGTATGATTTACTGATAAAATGTGATAAAACAGCATCAGTTTTATTCTTTTTGTTTTGTAGATGTGATTCCCTGAGAAATCTGGTTCATATAAATAAATGGAAATGGGCAGTTCTGTTGTAGTAATGTTGCTGAAGTCTAAACTTCTTCTGATTTTTGTGCCCCAAATGACAATGATTTTATATAAAAAAAAATTCATTGTTGCTCCATTATTTTTGTTCAAAGCAAATGAAAATCACCTAACTGGCAGAAGGATGAAACCTGGTCATATTATTCTCAACCCTGGAAGTTCTGGACTTACATAACTATAACTACACTTGTGATTCTTTCACTAAGTTATCTTGTTTTAACCCAGAGCTCTCAAATGGTTGGAGAACATCTGAATATTGCTTATTCCATTACACCTTGCTAATACAATACTTTCTGATCAAAAGACTTAGTTTACAAGTAGTTCCAATCCATTGTCATCAAAAACTTGGAGCTACAATTTTGGCTCATTTAATTGATAGGAAATGCCATCGAGTTAACCACACATCCTAGTGATAAGGATTAGACTGAGAGAAAATAATAAAATGGTTGTATTTGTGGGAGGTGAAGGGAACATTTTAACTTTCTAATATGAAAGTGCACAGCTGAGAGCTAGAGAGCACCTTCTCCCCAAAGCCAGGTTTCCTTAATTAAGTTTTTAGGGACTTGAATAATCAAGAAAGGAGACTTCATTTGGGGTTTGGGACTTCTTGCTTTCTACATCATCACGGCATTAAGAGGAATTTACTGGATAGGGAGTGAATTGCCCTTCTTCCTTAGCGTGGGTCAAGAGAGCCTGTGAAACCTGAGGATCAGGATATAGATTTCTTTGAAACATCTGGGCATGTCTCATCTCATCCTTAGCAAGACTTACCTGCAGATGTATTCCCATTTGAAGACCACTAGTTTATAGAGGTGGGCTCAGTGTCTTTAAGGGTAAATATTTATAAATTGCTTCTATGGTTTTATTAGTCTGGTCAGGGTTTCTCTCTCCTCTTGTTGAGGTTTTACAAGTTTTATTTCCTTTGCCAGTCATCCACTTCATCATTTCAAAGTTATAAATGTAATACATAGGAACCTCTCAATTAAAAAAAGTAGAGTTTCCCCACCCAAATGATTTACCTAACCCATTTTTCTCTCCACAACCAAGGTGAATTGTTTAGACCTTTTTTTTTTTTCTTTCCTTGGGTTTTGCTTAGCGAATTTACAATTTCTCGTGCTGGGCTTTTTTTTTTTTTTTTTTCTTTTTTTTAACCCACAATAGTATTCACTTAATACATTTGCTATAAAATCATTGTCATAATGTCCACTTGTTACGAGAGAGGGGCACCCCGGTGGCTGAAGCCAAGACTGTTGCCCTGCTTTTAGACTTAGCTATGTGTACGTGTATGTGCTCTAAACTATATGTCCACATTGATTAATGCCCATGAAATAAAGCAAGTAAATAATTACTATCCAGAATATAGGTCAATAAGAAAACAGGCAAACAATTCAACCAGAAAGAGGTTTAGCAGGCAATTCAAAGAACTAGGAAACAAACATGAAAGCGACGTGACCTTAGTAGTAATCAGACCCGCCCCCCGCCCCGCCCCGCCCCGCCCCGCCCCCACACGGATCCGCACACACTGGCGGCCGCGCGTGGGCGGGCGCTCGCCTCGCCCCTGGGGTTATTCTCTCGTGAGACCTCTGTAGTTTGAGGTCTGCGTGTTTAAAATTAAAAGCTAGAGCGGCAGCTTCCTGGGTCTGAGGGGACATTCGGCAGGCATTTGTCATGGCTCCCTGACATTGAGTGCAGACCAGTTTTTTAACTGAAGACGAAGCGGCAAGATAAACGGTGCTGGAATTTAATGAGTTTGACTTAACAATTTTACGTACAAGAAAGGTGTCAAGTTCATATGTCCACTAATTGTGTTCGAAAGATGGCCAACAACGAGAATTTGAGCTTGAAACCGAGAAGCAGACGCTTCCGCGAAGTCGCCGGCTGGCACAGACGGCCAAAAAGGCAGCCGCGGACAGCCGCCTGGTCGGGTCCTCCCCGCCCGCAATGAGGGCCGCAAAATGGCCCCCGTGAGCTCCGTGGTCGTGGCCTCGAGCTGACTGGTCCAATAGGAGCGTTAGGGCGGGACACCCCCTCGCGGCACGCCCTCTTCGGGCTGGGCTTACTGGCGTTTTCGCCTTTCCATTGGTCAAACCTGGAATACCGGATGTGGTAGAGGCCAATCGTGACGAGTCTTGGTAGAGCCGTCGCCCTGGCAACACGCGGAGCCGCCTGGGAGAGGTCTTGGGAGGCATCTGATCCAAAGCCCTGGCTCCCCAGGTGCGGCAATGACCTCCAGGGATTTAGGGGGTGGTTGACTGCGAACCCCAGTTATCCGCCTGCCGGGAATCCGCGCTCTGAGCACATTGCCTGGCCCCCTACCTGGCTGGTCTTTACTCCATCATTCCGCGTCCAACCTCACCTCGGACCACACTCAGGCCACTAACGAAGTTGTCCTTGCCTCTGCCCCAACAGCTTCCAAGTGCCAGATGATGGAGGAGCGTGCCAACCTGATGCACATGATGAAACTCAGCATCAAGGTCTTGCTCCAGTCTGCCCTGAGCCTAGGCCGCAGCCTGGATGCGGACCATGCTCCCTTGCAGCAGTTTTTTGTAGTGATGGAGCACTGCCTCAAACATGGGCTTAAAGGTGAGCCTGAGGGGGCGTCCGGGGATGTGGAAAATCGGGCTGTTTTAGTCTGCATTCGTTCATCGATGCCCAACATTGTTTTGGGTGCTGGAATAATAGTAGTGCACAAAACTGACAAAGTCCCTGCCCACAAGGCGCGACATTCTAGAGCAGTGCTTCCAATAGAAAGGCCATGCACCCTACAAATGCAGATTTAATAATGTTCCAGTAAGTGCGTTTAAAGGGTGGAAGGGGGTTAAATTAATAGTGTATTTCATTGACTCCAGGATTTCCAAAATATTATCATTTTGACATGAGATAGTCTTCGTTTTCACATTAAGGCTTGGAAATCCGCTATGTGTTTTACATTTCGCGCACATCTCAGTTGCACCAGTATATTCGAAGTGCTCAGTAGCCCATGCTGCTGATGGCTACCTTGGACAGCACAGCTCTAGAGGATGAGACAGACAAATGGAAAACAAACACAATTACAAATGCTACAAATTCAAGGAAGCAAAATGAATTAAATGATAGCGAATCAAGGAAAAAAACGTTCAGCTAGAGTGAGAAGGAATGTTTTTCCAGAAAAATGAAGTGTAAGCAATACCTAAAGGAGACATCAACCTTGCAGGCACTGGCGGTGAAGGCATTCCTAGCCAAAAAACTGAAAAAAGGAAAACTTGGTCCTGGATGCAAAGGTCCTTAGTGAAACCAACCTTAGTTTGAGAAGGACACTGAGTAACTGAGGCAGGCATGAAGAGATGAAGCAGAAAAGATGAGATTAGGGAGGGGTGGGGGCGTGGAGGGGGTGGGAAGGGCTAGATCATATAGGCCTGTATAGGTCGGGGTATGGAGTTGGATTTTATTCCAAGTGTATTTGGAGGAGTTTGAGCAAGGGAAAAACATGACCTCACATTTTAAAAAAGAATATCCAACTATGGAGAGAACAGGTTGTAAGGGAGGGAAGGTGACTACTAGGAGCAGGGAGACCCATTCTGATGTTATTGCAATAGTCAGATATGGGATGATTTTAAACCAAGCATTGATTTTGGCATTAGGTATGAAGAAGAAAGGGAAAGGATTTCACAGGTGATTATGAGGTACTTTATTTGCTTTATTTCATACTTATCAACATTTATTATTGATAATTTGTTATTCGTTGTGTCCATTAAATATTTGGAGAAAGAACATAGTAGCTATATCAGAGAGACCCTGTAACCCTCATTTGTAACTTGTCAGTTACTTGTTCAATCCCTTAGACTAAACCTGAAAGGTTCAGTGGTAGAACTCTGTTACATTCATTTGGGCGAGTGACTGTGGGTCCCTGAAGAAATTTTGCAACCTATCCTTATGAATAATACTTTTGTTTTCCCTTTTAGTTAAGAAGAGTTTTATTGGCCAAAATAAATCTTTCTTTGGTCCTTTGGAGCTGGTGGAGAAACTTTGCCCAGAAGCATCAGATATAGCCACTAGTGTCAGAAATCTGCCAGAACTAAAGTGAGTGAGAAGTCGTCACACTGATTTGATTTTTTTTTTAACTCCCTCATATTTACCCACTTCTTAATTCCTTGCTGAGAAAACCTTGGAACAAATTAGCATGACCCACTCTCTGCTTAAACTTTAATCTCAGCTCTGCTATTCATTCTCTACATAACCTTGCATAAGATTTGCTCCTCTCTGAAGCCTCAGCTTCCTCTTCTTTAAAATGGAGACAGTGATCCATGTCTGTCAGAGAAGGTGGAACAGTTTGAAAGATACTGCCTCAGGAGAAGTTACAGGTGGAAAGGGAGTCATTTTTACACTCCTGGAGTCATTGCTTCAGGTGTATCTGTCTGGACAGTTTTCTGCATAATATAGTTGGTCCAGATTAGAGATTCTAGGACAAGACATTTGTGAAAATGCGAACTCATGAATCTTTGGCCATGTCTGGATTTGCCCTTGGAGTCTCCATGCATAGGCTCAAAATAAAAATACTGAACAGAATACCAACAAAGCATCATCATGGGATCTGCATGGGATTTAGGAGGGGCACTAGAGAGGTTTGGGTTATGAGGAAGAGCCCCGCTTCCAGCCTCTATTTGACCCGTTACCTACTGAGACAGCCTGTTCCAGCCAGCATTTACCATGCTGCCTGCCACATGGTAGGCATTGGGCTAAAGAGATTTCATTATCTCCTTGAACCCTCCACAGCCAAAACATAAGAAATATTTGTTCTGTGGGATCTGAGGCTGAGGAGTTAAGTAATTTGCCAAGGACCCTTAGCGAGTGGTAGAGCCAGGAAGAGAACACAGGTGTGTTGAACTCTGAAACCCTCAATCCCAGCCCCATGCATTCTTCTCGTTACAGAATTTATCCCTCTGCTCCTGTCCCTAGTTCAGTTCTCTGGGCCTATTCTACATAAAGTGAAAATTTTTACATGTGATAGCCTTCCAAATGTTTATTTGGTGACCTCTTATGAGCCTTGTTTCTTTAGTTGTTCTTTATGTGATTGTCCATCCCTTCCAACCAGCTCATTCCCTTGAGAGCAAGGTGCATTCTGATTGGAGAGGAGCAGGGCAATCTCCTCCTGCTCTCAGGCTTCTGTTTTCAAATTTGAAGCCTTCTTATACTAATCAGAACTACTGTGGGCTGAACCCCCACCTGTTTCCACATTATTGTGGATGCTAAGCAACAGGCAAGCTTAAGCATGGAAATCCTCCCCCATATGCCAAAACTGAAGTGTACAGTTTTTCCCATCTCTTCATTTCTCAGAGGAGTAGGCTTGTTGGTGGCCCTATGGGAGGGAAAGGGCTGCTGTTTTGTTCTATGTAATTGCAGTGTTTCTACTATTACATAGTAGCAAAAGCTCTAAAACTTCTACAGTATTTTGGAACTTAGGTCTAGTCGTTGGGGAGAGTTGGGGGCTGGTTATCCTAGGTGGTTTGAAACTTGGAGGATAATTTTGCATCCTGGGAAGACTCTCTAGAGTATAGTTCCTCTAGCTAAGATAAAAATGTCTCTTGCAGTGTTGTCTATCATCCAAAATTATTCATTGTCTTCATGCCATGGTTTGTTACTGATCATACCTTACACGATGAATTTTGTTTCACGTATTGACATTTAAACTCAGACAAGGCTTCTCTCTCACTTGCTGTTTTGGTTTTTTTTTTTTTTTTTTAATTATTTTAATTTACAAGTAGAAAACCTCTCAGAAGGAAAAATAAATGAAAGAACAACACAAAATGTGTAGGCACATTTTTACTCCATGAATTTCTCAAATCCTCACTTGTTCCCCACTCTCCAAGATGAAAAACACTCTTCTGAAAAGGTATTCAGCCACCAACAATGAAGTTATTAACAGGGTTATGGGTCATTTCACACATGAAAAAAACCAATAAATCCCATTATAGCAAATCCTGTAGCAATGCATAGGCTTGTTGCCATGGCAATCTTCTGAAATTCTTTTCTGTAAGGTTTGGTGCATCTTTTAACCAGCCAAATCAAATCTTCACAAACTTCCTACCATCATTACCACCACCAGGAAGGTCAGGGACGCTGTCTTTCTTTTTTGAAAATTAGAAATTACCTTTTTTTAAAATTACCTGTTTTTTGATTAGGAAATAAAAACAAATCAAAAAATGCTTCCATTAGCCCACTACTCAGAAAAAAAAAAGAATCCTACATTTAATTTCTTAGTCTGTTTCCTTCTAGACCCATTCATTGCCTACTCAGACAGACGAATAAGATTCTGTTTTTATACCTCCCACCATGGCATCAGAGTCCATTGATGAAGGACTTACCCATTATCCTTCAAAATTACCAGTGCATCTGTCCTTGGACTGAGCAACCCCATTTTGGTGATTACCCTACAAATCTAGCAACATGAAAATGATGCATGTACAGAACCATCTGTTGCAGTTTTATTTGTAATAACAGGAGAGTAGAAATAGCCTACCTAAAAAATCTACTAAATAAATTATGGAGCAGTCCAATACTAAACACTATAAACCTTAAAAAAAGGAGAAATTCAGGCCTCCCCTCCTGGTGCAGCGGTTGAGTGCTGGGCTGCGAGGCTGCCTGCAGCCTCTGCAGCGCCGGTTCGTTCCCCAGCCGCCGGCGAGGGTCCCACAAAAAAGAAAAAAAAAAAAAAAAAGGAGAAATTCTTCTCTGTGTGTGGAAAGAATTTCGAGAATACAAATATTCAGTGAAGTAAGCAAGTAGCAGAACAGCATGTGTAACATTAATTTTTTTTTTTGGTCAGGAGGGTAGAGAAGAATTTGAATATACATGATTAAAAATGTTTTGTAAGAAAACCTAAACTAAGAACAATATATTAATGTTTGTGAAGGGGAACTGTGAAAAATTAAGGTTTAAATTATACATGCAGTATTGTAGCCCTTTCTTTTGCATTTCATATTAGATTTTATACCTCTTTCCATGTCATATATCCATCCATCCACCCATCCATCCATCCACCCATCCATCCATCCAGTGGAATCTAAAGCATTCTGCTGTGTAGCTTATTTGGGCTTTGCTGTTGTCTTCAGATTCCCATTACCCAAATAGTGCAGTGGTGATCATCCCCCAACATCTTTAACATCCTAAATTGTGTCCTTAGGATACACGACTAGATGCAGATTTTCGATAACCTCCTGCCATTAGGTTGCCTGCTGGAAGGGCTGTCAGGGTTATTGCCATTTACTACACTCCCACCAAAACAGCATGTGTCAATGGCCATGTTCCACATCATGCCATCAATTAATCTTTTTTCTACCATATTTCCTTCCATTTTTACTCTAGTTGAGCATCGTTTATCAGCAGAGGGGAAGGAGGTTGAAAGCCTTTTGCATTGAAGAACTTAGGTCACCTCTTCCTGGCCTGGCTCCTGAAATGACCAGCCTGGCCATCAGCCCTGAGAGTTCCTTTGAGGCGGATATTGATTCCAGTGGTATCTCTAGTGCTTTCCTGGGTGTCACACAGCAGTTATTCTGCTTAGAGCAAAAGCATTTTTCCTTTAAAAGTGTTAGGTCTAAAGTCAGGAGGCTTATTTTATTCTAATGTTTTAAGGAGGCCTTTTCAAAGTTGCACCTTTGGAAGGGATTGTGATAGTGTGATTATATATAACAATACTGAACTGTTGCTTCAAAAGATAAATTTTATGCTTTGTGTCTTTTATCACAGTGAAAAATACAATTGCATCTTTGTACTAACTAGAAACTTTGTGAAACGACACCACTTGATTTTTTTTTAAAGATTTATTTTGCATACAAGAACTGGGGTGTAGGCCAGAGGTGGGGGGGCGGTGAGAGGATTCACCAGAGGCAGAGTGGGGAGCAGAACAGGTGGATCTACTGAAATATACTGCTGAGGGGAGCAGCTGGCGAGATAAGAGAGGTCTGCTGCGCCATGTGTGGATTACCTCCCTGGCCTGGGATCAAACTCAGGCCATCTCTGTGATATCTCTGAGACTTAACCCCTAGGCCTCCAGGGAGGCATGAGACCAAAACACTTTAACAAGCACTGTATTCTATGTATTGATCTTTTGAAAGAGTCTTTAGATATTACACAAATCTAGTCTGGTATTTCCTGGCTCCCTGTGAAATTTTATCAATATAAACAAAGTTGTGTCTAATTATATTCCAGAAATGAGATTTTTGTGGCTTAAAAAATTTTTTATATACATGCCCATGATACAAAATTCAGACAGTATCCAAAGATTTCAGTGAGCTGTTTTCTTTACCTTCCTAGTGAACCCCACTCACCCCACCTCCTTCTACCTACCCACAAATGCAACTATTGTTAAAATGTTCTCCACATCTGTGTGTGTGTGTGTGTGTGCGTGTGTGTATGAGTGAGAGAGAGAGAGAGAGAGAAAGAATAGGCTTTTTCTCTTTGTTTTTTGATGTTATTGTTACACCATAACAGTTTGATTCTCTGAATTCTAGGACAGCTGTGGGAAGAGGCAGAGCGTGGCTTTATCTTGCTCTCATGCAAAAGAAACTCGCAGATTATCTGAAAGTGCTTATAGATAATAAACATCTCTTAAGGTATTTCATCACCTACCTTTGCTTGCCTTTTGCTGTATAAATTATTAGAACATAGTTCTGTAATTCATTTTGAATTAAAAGAGTGTATAATGTAGGCAGCTTATATTCACACTACTAATAGTAAATATTCTGTGACTTAGTTTTAAAATAGCAATCTTTCATCTTTTGAGCACTGATACTGAACTTAAGATTCATATTTTAATTTTGAAAAGTCATTTTGAAGATAATTCTCCAAAAATACCTAAGATTAGGTAACTGCTTCAACAAAGTGATATTTATTAGTTTGGATGATAAAGGAAACAGACTGCTTTACAACTTGATGCAGTGGGTAAAACCCTGCTTTTTGAAGGGACCATACCTCTGTTGCCTGTTTTAGGATTCTGTATCCAGATTGTAAAATTTTGCATCTCTTAGCATCAGTAAAGACCAACTGGCCATCCCTGAATTTTATGAATGTTTCTATTTCTGTATTTATAACTATATACACAAGAATAATCACTATAAAGGGAATTTTCTCGAGAATATGAGAATTTACAAGTGAAGAATTTAAGAGTTAATTCTCTTGTCTCACTGAAATAAAAATGTTTTATAGAATGGCCTGTCACTCAGAAAAATTTCATTATTTTCAAATCATGATTTATTGAATATATTTATACATGATAAATACTGATTTCAAATATTTTATGTGCTTTGTACTTTCAGTTACACTGAGTAACTTTGAGGTATAGATTTTCTTCTAATGAACTAATTTTTAAGACAGCAAGTTCTCAGCTTTTCCCATACACACACAGTACGCCAGCACAAGAAAGGCAGGGGGTGGGTCACCACTGCAAACGACTAGGTGACTGGTACTTAAGGTAGTGAAAGTTGCCAGTGTAGCTCAGTGGGACACAGGGAAGAGGAAAGAATTTTGTTCTTGGATGTGGGGAGGCTGTTGATGCCACTTGCTGTTGACATGAGCGCACAGTGGTTCATAGCAGTGTGGACGAAGAGTCAGCAGGAACAGGAGGTTCAGTGTGATGGTTAGGAATGCAGGAGCCAAGAGAAGATGAGGATGACTGTGGTACAGGATCTAACCATAGGTAGCAGGAAGGGGCAACCCATTCTAAGCCGCAGGAAGAGAGATAAGGCCAGAGAAGAAACAGTAGCGCTGGAAGCAAGAGAGGAAAATGAAAGGCAGAAGGAATTCTCACAAATGAGCTTCTCACTCCTGGGTGAAGGTGGCAGCCAGGCCATCACCTGAGAGGTAAAAAGGCAAGTGAGGTTGGGGCAAAGGGATGGTGAAGGTGTTCATGAGCAGCTCATCTGTCATGTCCTTCTCTTTCAGTGAGTTTTATGAGCCTGAGGCGTTAATGATGGAGGAAGAAGGGATGGTGATTGTTGGTCTGCTGGTGGGACTCAATGTTCTTGATGCCAATCTGTGCTTAAAAGGTGAAGACTTAGATTCTCAGGTAAAGTGGGAATTTTGACTCTAGATGGAATGCCTTCTTCCAGGCAAGGATTTTACATAGGATCTGCAAGCTGTGCTAAGCCTGAGAAAGGGACAGGTGGTTGCCAGTGTCCGTGGGGGGCTGTGCAAGGTGCTGTGCTGACTCAAGGGAATATCAGCCAGGGAAGATCTCAAAGAAAGGTAAAGAGGTAGCATGGACAAAGGCACACACAAAAAGCCGGAGACTGGGCCTACTTGTTAGCCATCAGTCACAGTAAAGGGTTAGCTTTGTCCTTTGAGCTATGGGAAGCTGCTGGAGGTCTTTAGGCAGTATACACGGAAATGCCCGGGCCTGGGCTTGAGAAAGATCAATCTAGCAACCTGTCTCAGTCCTGAATTAAAAGCGGCTAAGAACAGAGACTACAAAAACCTTGAGCACACAGTCTGGAAATCCCAAAAGGTTGGATGGACCATAAGAACATAATAAGGAGGGATTTTAGAAGTCAGATTGATAAAAATGACAGCAGGCAACACGTGCTGCATGCCATGTGGAGTGGGATGGCCCTCCTGGGTGGGTGCTCCTTCCTGCATGGGAGCAGGTGTCCAGGGCTGAGGCTAAACTAGAGATGAGAACTCTGAGTATCTAGAAGGCAGTCACCTGATCCATCCCACCTCCACCCCTCTTCAGGTTATCTGTAGCTGTGGCTGGGCCTTTGCCTAGCTGCCTTCCTGCCACATGTTTGGACTTGAAGAAACAAAATCTTCCCTTATGCCTTGAGGCCCAGTCCCAGGCCAGCTTCTACCCCATTTTTTTTTTATTAGTTTTATTTTTGCATGTTGAAATTTTTCAAAAAATATAGAGAAGTATTTTTGAAAATATAGTAAACATCAGACATAATTCCATTACTCAGAAACAGCTAACCCAGTGTTAAATTTTAGGACATGTCCTTCCAGTATATGAATAAGGGTGTGTGAGTTAGAGAGAGAGGGTGTCTGTGTTCATATATTTTAAAAAGAGATGTTTAACATTTTCTTTTTTATTAAGGTAAAAGGTAATTATTCCAAGCACACTATTTTGTATTTTTCTTTTTTAATCTTGTTTCACATACTTCTTTATGTCAACAAAGATGTAAACCATTCTAAATGAATGCATAGTATTCCATTTTATGAATGTGCCATAACATATGTAACAAATAGCTAATTAACTTAAGTGTTTCCATATTATAATAATATTGTATAAACATCCTTCTACCTCTCTATACACTTGTTCATTTTCTTTAGGGTAACTTTTGGGATTAGGATAACTGCGAAATATACAGATCCTGCATGAGTGTTGTGATGACATAGACATTCTTGGTCTTTTTCAGTCTCATCTCAAGTTTATAATTTTGAGAACTAGAAAGGTCAATTTTTTTTTACATGTTTTCTTTGCCATCGGTGGTTCAGCTTTTATTGCTGTTTATTCATGTTCTTTGCCATTTTTCTGAATTTTATATCTTATTCCATTCCTTTATTAGGTAGTCATGTGTCAACGATGGAGATACGTAGGTTTTTATATTGATTTTGTTGTTGTGCAACTATCAGAGAACATATGTTACCTTCCAAACTACTTCACCATTTCGCTGGCAGACTAATTGTGGGGGGGATCTTGGAAGGGAACTTTGACTTTTTCTTACTCCTGTAATACGTTGGCAGTGTGTGCTACATCACCAGGCAATAGGAATTTTGCAGACCACTGTCTCATATGTGGCCTGTTATTGACAGAAATATCATTAGGTAGTGCATGAGTAAAAATCAGAGATACTGACTGGTTTTGAAATTTTTGTTATGATTTTTTTCTGCCTTGTCATGGCTGGTTTTGTGTCTTGAAAAAAATGGCAATCAAATTTTTTTGCAAATCAGATTTTCCCTTTATAGTTTCAAAAATATTGTGCATAGATTTTTTATTTATTTATTTTTTTTTGTGGGACCCTCACCAGCGGCCGGGAAACAAACCGGCGCTGCAAACCCAGTGTTCAACTGCTGCGCCACCAGGGGAGGCCCGATTTTTTTCTTTTTTTTAGATTTATTTATTTATGCATACAAGAGCTGGAGTGCAGGCCAGAGGTGTGGGGGGTGAGGTGAGAGGATTTACCAGAGACAGAGTGGGGAGCAAAACCGGAGGGCTAATTGAAATACACTGCTGAAGGGAGCAGCCAGTGAAACAGGAAAGGTCTGCTGTGCCATGTGGGTTAGTTCCCTGGCCAGTATGTAACTCAGGGGCAGTGGCTGGCTATAGCTTGGTAGCGCTGATCCTTTAACCCCTGTGCCACCAGGCGGCTCCACCATTCTGATTTTTTTAAAGAAAAACATTTTAAGATTCCTTTAGTTTGATAAATGGAAATAATCTCTGCTTGTTCTACTCTGGTGAAACAATGTACTTTATACAGCAAAGTATCCAGTCCCTTACTGGCCAACCAAAGATAAGAACTATTCATTTACATGTTGTTCTACTCAAGCACAATGCATTATTGCCACAGTCATCTAGTTGTTTTGTTTTGTTTTGTCTTGTTCTTTGGTCACCAACACTTCTGGCAAAGACAAGGTTTAGAATGGCAAAAGCAATAGAAGTTTTAGATCTTAAAACTCTGGAAGGGAAGTCTGAGTCTTCGTCATCTAGGTAGTCCTTGGCATTGCTTAATGTTCAAACTATATCTGTTCCCTGTTTCTTCTTCAGGAGAGATGCACAGGCAGCATTAGTGACCATGTGCTAGCCTACTTCCTTCTCATTTTTTTTATTTTTATTTTATTTATACAAGCACTGGGTACAGTCAGAAGCACAGGAGAGTGAGAGAATTCACCAGAGCCAGAGCGGGAACAGAGCACAGACTGATGAAATACACTGCTGAGGGGAGCAGCGGGCGCTGCAAGAGAGGTCTGCGTGCCTTGTGGGACCCTCGCCGGCGGCCAGGGATCGAACGGGCGCTGCAGAGGCTGCAGACAGCTTCACAGCCCAGCATCAACTGCTGCGCCACCAGGGGAAGCCCCTTCTCATTGTTTCTTAAGTCTGTTCTAACACCTTTTGCTAGAAGCAGTTGGACAATATCTGCATAACCCTCTGGGCAGCAGCATGCAAGGCTATGTCTCCAAACTTGTTCTGTTGGTTCAGTTCAATGTTGGTTGAATAAATAGCATTCCTCTATATCTTTGTGACAAGCCCAGGATAAGGCAGTGCTTCCAGCTGTGTCTAAGCCGTTAATTCTGATTATCCAAACATTCTGAATTAGCTCAGGTTGCCTTTTTGCAGTTTCATGCAAAAGATTGTCGATGAATTCTGCCTACTCAGCCTTGGGATTAGTCCAGTCCTGCCTTTGGAGGTGCTTTTTCTCCAAAGGCAATGTCAGTAATGTAGATAATATCACCTTCCTCAAAGTATAATTCACCTGGAGTTCTTGCTTCAAAACATGCAGCGCTCTGAATACCTTAACTTCTCCTGGTTTGACTGGTTTGGGTGGCGACTTCGACATCTTGCTTCCTGGAGTGGCTGATCCTAAAGGCCATGTACAAGAAGCCTACCAATCTCCCCACCGGCCTGCACTCCCAGTGCCCAGTTTCTTTTTGTCTGGTTTACAGTGGTACATCTTCAACCACCCTGCCATGGGCGGTCAGATGCAGGCACAGCCACTTCTCTCCAACTATGTGTTTCTTAAATTGAAATACTGTGCTTGCCATTTGTTGTGACATAATATGAAGTGGAGTTAGATTTCTTTTACAAGCTGGAAACCAATTTTCTCAATATCATGAATTAGATTATATCATTTTTGTATGTACTGATTTGAAATTCTACCTATATCATCTGTGAAATAATCATAATATGTGAAGGTTTCCCCTGGACCCTTGTGTTTAGGCCCAGATCTCTTAATTCCTATGCCATCGCATATTCTTCATTAGCAGAAAAATGTAGTATTGGATACCTCACATGATGTTCTTCTCGACATCATTGCATTAGAATGATGGCGGAAAAAGCCCTCCATACCTGGACCATCTGTGTGGCATTTGTACATTCTCCCCATGTCTACATGGGTTTTCTCTGGCACTCTGGTTTCCTTCCACACCCCAAAGATGTGTACTTGAGGTTCATTCGTGTTTTTCAGGTCCCAGTGGGAGTGAGTATGGGTGGGTGTGTGATGTGTCCTGGGATAGAAAGATATCCTGTCCGGTGGGTTTCCCGCCTTTCACCCTCACTTACCAGGATAGGCTCTAGCCACCCAAGACCCTGAACTGGAATAAGTGGATTAGAAAATGAATGAATGGGGCCTCCTTGGTGGCGCAAGGGGTTAATAAGCACCACACTATGAAGCAATCTGCAGCTTCTGCAGCACGAGTTCGATCCCTGGTGGCCATGGAGCAACTCAAATGGCACAGACCTCTCCTGTCTCACCCACTGCTCCCCTCAGCAGTGTGTTTCAGTCCGTCTGCCTGTTCTGTTCCCCACTCTGTCTCTGGTGAGTCCTCTCACCCCTCTGCATCTCTGGCCTGTGCCCCAGCTCTTATATGCATAAAAAAATAAATCTTTTTTTTTTTAAAAATGAATGAATGAATACAAGTGCTTTCAATTTTACAAATTCAAAAGTGATTTTTGAATATTAGAAATGTTTGGGGTCTTTATTTAAAATAAAGTTTGGTGATGTTTTGTCATCAGAAATGTGCCTTAGATACTTAAAACTTGTTCATATCAGTTAGCTTGTGATAAAATTGATTTTGTTTCACGTCATTTCACGTCAAAGTTGTAGATTCAAAAACCTATCAGTGACTTTAAATGAGGACCCACTGTATGTTTTATGCTCTGGCTGTCCACTCCTGTCTACTTTATTATACTCCTCTTTCAAATATAGTTCAGGCTATCCATTCTACCAGATGACCTTGAATACCATTTTGTTAAATTCCAAAATAGATTTTTTATTAAATAATAGATGTGATTGACCCTTGTCTATTCCTTAACAAAATGCCATCATCCACCATAAGGAATAAATGTTTGCTGTT